TGACGTCCTGGAGGACCGGAAGTACGAGCTTGCTTTTATGTCCGAGGCCGTGCCTCATCTCTGCTCCATGCTGCTCGTCCCTGAAGGTGACCCAGACGCCTTTGACATCCCGACCCCTCGCACTTACGCTGAGGTGACCACGGGACCCTGGGCCTCTCAGTGGATAGCTGCCATGGACGCGGAGATGGCATCTTGGAGATCCATCGGTGTTCAAGGTACGCTACGTAGCTAGAGTCTTCAGTCAACGCGAGGGCGTTGACTTCTTTCAGACCTTCGACCCGACCTCGAAGGTGACTACTCTTTGGGCGTTGCTACACGTAGCAGCATAGTGTAACTATGGGCTCCACTCTCTCGACTTCTCGATGGCATTTTCTCAGGGCAGTCTACACGAGCAGGTCTACCTGCGTCGCCCGCCAGGCTTCACCGGCACCTTCGCCCCGGGGACCCAGTGGCTTCTCCAGCGCCCAGTTTACGGCCTGCGGCAGGCGCCGCGCGAGTGGCACGACACGCTGCGTGCTACGTTAGCTGACCTGCAGCTCTTCCTATCCTCTGTAGACCCTTCGCTCTTCGTTCGTGCTGGCCAGACCCTGTTCTACATCCTTGTCTACGTATACGACCTGGTCTTTGCTACACCTGACAGAGACGCGCTGGCCTCGGTGAAGGTTGAGCTGGTGAAGAGGCACACCTGCACTAACCTGGGAGAGCTGCGCCATTACTTTGGCCTGCAGATCTCTAGAGACAGAGCAGCGCGCACCATCACTCTCACACAGTCACACTTGGTGCGTCAGGTCCTTCAGAGGTTCGGCCTTCAGTTCTCCTCTGCACAGCCCACACTTCTGCCAGTAGGTCACAGGCTGTCAACTCCAGTCCTTGAGGAGTCTGTAGAGCCTAGTGGTCCTTATGCAGAGTTGGTGGGCTGCCTGATGTACCTGATGACTTGCACTCGTCCAGATCTCGCATACCCTCTCAGCATCCTGGCTCGCTTTGTGGCCACAGACACACAGCGACCGCATTACTGGTCGGCCGCTAAGAGGGTTTTGCGTTATCTAGCAAGTACATCGGGCATGGGTCTAGTGCTAGGACAGCACAAGCCAGTGGTCCTTACAGTGCACATAGACGCTTCTTGGGCAGATGATGCAAAGACACTTTGGTCCTCCCAGGGCTACTGCTGTAGCGTTGGTTTAGGCGCCGTCTCGTGGCAGTCCACCCGTTCTTCGTCTATTGCCCAGTCTAGCTGTGAGGTTGAGATCTACGCTGGTGCCATGGCCCACAAGAGCTCCGCTGGCTGACCTTCTTGCTTATAGACTTACCGTATTTCCCCGGATAAAATACCCACCGGTATTAATCACCCATGGGTGGTTTGGGGCGGACCTGGGTGCTTTATTCAACTGGATATTCATACCACCCTAGTTTTTGGCATGAAAGCTATACACCACCCCCTTGGTCCATTTTCACTGGATTTCTTTAGATTTTGCCTCTTATCAGAGTGTCTCTTATCAGACTCGCGCGTCACTGAGCAGTGCAAGCTCGACGCGAAGTGGTTCAATGCGGTGTAGAACTGTTACCATGCCTGGAATTCTCGTCACTCATGCGAATGTTGCGAGTCTGATACGAGGCTCATGGGAACATGCTCCTCACAGTCAACACTGCAGCGCGGGAGAATCCACGTCGGTCGGCCCTGGTTGGGTCGTAAAGGAATCTGCAGCAGATTCCTTCTAGCTTTGGTGCGCTGTCACATTGCGGCGTCGAGGTTGCCACTTGCCACCACGATTTGATAGAATGTGACAACCTGTGGCGCAGGCAACCTATGACTGTTTGCCTGCAACGTGGCATGATGATAGTTCTCTTCACGATATACGCGATCACGCGCAAGAATCGTCAAAATTTGGCACAAAAGAACTGTCTACAACATAGTTCAATTCCAGTTCATAAACATAAAAGTGTCATTCCATAGCCTCCGGGCGTTATACAAAATGTGCCATTAATTTTACCCCCTCCAAATTTTACATGGGTTTTTACTAACACCCATGCAGGCCCCCAAATTGCAGACTTTTTACTATGATTCACACTTTTTTCAGAGTTTTTTTGGGGGTGTACTCTGATTGCAAAGACTTTTTTTTGTACCTTACTCTGATTTTTCAGAGAACTTTTTTGTACCTACGCTGATTTTTCAGACATTTTTTACTAGTGTACTCTGATGCCTCAACCCTATATGGGGGGTTGACTCTGATTCTGTGTAATACCGAGATTTAGGGGGAGCGTGATTAGCGCTGCTACCCCTGTGGAGGGCGCTGACGTGATGCTTGCTGGGGGCTTTGTGAGGGCGCGTACTGTCCCTTCACCAAAATCAAAGGTCAATGTGTACTAGGGGCTGTGTGAGGGAGCTGATTGGCCCTTGGCCAAAATATTTGTGCTGGAGGCGGTGTGAGGGGTCTATTGGCCCTTCAGAAAAATTGCCGATGTCTGCCGCGGGCTGTGTGTGCGAGGGCGCCCATTGGCCCTTCATGTGGTTGCCACCTGGATGGCGTTTATTTCCCTCCCTCCCCTCCCTGCAATTTCGATACTCCCCTCCCCAATTCCTATCCGCCCCATCCCTGAAAGTTTACCTGTACCACTACGTCGGCCCAATAAATTCAATTTTATTGGGCCTACATCTTCCACTCTGAACACGTATTTGCGCTGCATCTCACGTAAAATTTGCCGACGTCAGGAAAAAAAAAATCCAGGAAATTTCACTCTGAACACACTCGTAGTGCGAGCCGGGTCTTGGGTGGCGCGAAATTCTGCGATTTCGCCAGCACACAGACAGCTAGAGCAGAATAAGGGAGCATTTTGGAGCTCGTGTCAAAATCACAAGACCCAAAGTTGGGTCTGCAAACCCCGCGGCTCCTACAGCCGCGGGTCAGCCTCGGGTAAGACCCGAGGTGCGGAATTACTCTAAGAGAGCTCCTGGCATGCCAAGCCCAAGTAGTAAGAGGTCACTAGGAAAGTGAAGGAGTTCGGTGGACGAGGCTGAGGAGGTTATGCAGGACATTTATTGACATGTAGTGTACAACAGTTTAAAAATCAGCGTAAAACAAATTAGTGACTCTGATTTATCAGACAAAAAATATATTGTTACACTGATTTTTCAGACATTTCTTCAGAGGCGAGTCCGATGGCCATACCAAGGGATGGGAGGCAAGTCTGATGAATCAGACACCTCCAAAAACCAATTTGGGGGCCTGCACCCCTGGGTGTTTTATCCGGGGGAATACGGTGCTGATGCACCCTTCCTCTAGTGTTGATGGCCTTCGTACTTGTCAAAAAGGCCTTGCAAGATCTTCCTCCACCATGCCAGCGAGGTACCGCAACTCCGTACCCAGACTCCTAGCAGGTCCGGCCACACCTTTAATCTCCTCAACACGTGCATCCACCTTCACTGCTACGCCCCGTTCCTCTTGTCCCACCACCTCATCCTTAATCTCCTGCAGCTCGTTGGCAACGTGAGCCATGCTTGGGCGGCTGGCAGTGCGCTCCATGGTGCAGCTGACTGCCAGCTGGGCAATGCGCAGGACAGCAGGGGCAGGGTCCATCCTGGGGTCCTGGAGGGCTGCTATGCTGCCTGAAGAGAGGCTCTGCTCCACCTGAGGGAAGGCAGAAAGCATGCAAAATAGTGAAGGGAGCCAGTGTTCAATAATGCTTACCCGTTGTAACACAGGGTCATCCTTCCCATGTTGATCTCACTTAACCTTCAGTATAGAGCAGGTTTCTAACAGTTGAATCCCCACAGATCATGTTTGCCTTTGCGTTCACCATAGCACCCACAGCACTCACCCATAGTATGATTTGGCCAGTCCCTCTCTTGATCTTATGCCCTGGCTTACGACCGGTGAGGACCACAAGCATGAGCACACCGAAGCTGCACAGCAGCAAGACGTTGAAGCAAAAATTAGTCTAAAGTGGACCCTGGTCTGCGTGGATTCGAAAGTTTCTCAGATTTATCCATGCAAGTTCAAACCTCTTCACAGTAATGCAGGGGTACAGGATCGTGCAGCTGACTGGACATTTGCTGATTGAAATGTTATTTGAACGTGCATATTCGGAGATCACTTGTAGAAATAGAGCGAGCATTGAGACTTTTGGAGTTACCTGTATGTATCTGAGGCTGTGGTTGTTTTTGATGTTCTGACATAAATGGGGTCCACATAGCCCGGTGTACCCATCACTCGAGTGGAGGCAACTGTCGTTCCGTCTTCCACCCGCACAAGCCCAAAATCTGCAATCTTAGCCTGACAATGATATGGCAAAGCAATGAGAGTAAATTATGGGGGAAAAGGAGAAGACTTATGGTGTGACACAAATACATCGCACCCTTGTAGTTAGGCATGAGCACGAGGCGAGGCGAGAATTCCTTGACCCGAGGATCTCATCCTCGCGCCATAGCCGGGGCTGGTCGAGGAATCCTCGCCGAGGATTTTTCTTGAAAATCCCCCCTCGACCCCCGGGTTTTGGGGTCGAGGATTGAAATCCTCGCCTCGAGGATTAATTCCTTGACCCGGGGCGAGGATTCCTTGACCTGGGCGGCTGGGGGTTTAGGGGGGGGGGAGGGGGAATGGGAACATGTGCAGGAAGAATGAGCCTTATCCAGGTTTTCCTTGCGAGGATACAAAATCCTCGCCCATTTGCCTCAAGGAAAAGTCGAGGCCTCGAATCCTCGCTGGGGCGGGGCGAGGATTTTTCCCAGAAATCCTGCCTCGACCCCCGGAATTTCGAGGCGAGGATTTCCGAGGCGAGGAAATCCTCGCCTCGTTGCTCATGTCTACTTGTAGTAGTGGTGTAGTGATGCACATGTAGTGCTGTGGCAGTTGAAGCTCATGTTCGTGCTTTTATACGTTATGAAGCAACCGTTGGACCTTACAACTCATCCATCAAACGGGCAAATCTGTAGGCTTTGCCTAAGAACCATTACTCAACCGCGCATGGTGTTGCTATCTAATAATCCTTGCCTGCATATTCTCTGAAATGAGGATGTTGGCGGGTTTGATGTCGCGATGCACAATGCCAAAGCTGTGGAGGTACTCCAAGCCACGTGCAGCACCAATGAGAATGTCCAGCCGCTGCCTCAAGCTCAAAGGAAACGGGGCGTCTGCAAGGGTTTCATCCCATAATTCCCATGCCATGGAGTGTACATAAATAATGCAAGATGATACATCTTGTCATAGAATGAGGAAGCACACGTAAATGTGGAGAGAAATAAAGCAGTTACGTACTGATATCCAACCACTTCTCGAGGTCATTGTTCGGCTCAAACTCGTAGATCAAGACTTGCTCTGCCCGTGTCCTTATGTCTCCTCCAACAGCAAAACCGAGCAGCTTTGCAATGTTGGGATGGTTCTTGTCCGCCATTTGATGCACCTGAAGGGAGAGAGGTAAAACAGATAATTGGACAACCGTACACCCTAGCACTGCTCCTTTCGCCAATGCATCTCCTTACCTCTTTCTGGAACTCAGCATCTATCAGCCTCGCTCGCTTGACAGCCCATGCAGTGGTGGCATCGTGGGGAGACAACCCCTTGTATACATCTCCAAAGGAACCCGAGCCAAGTAGGTTGTCCTTCGACCAGTTGTTGGTAGCTTTTAGGACTTTGGCAAGAGAGTACTCGGTGCACAGCGATGAAGCTATGCTGTGAGCTAATTCTGCTCATGGGATAAGATGTGAAAGGGCCACAGGGTGATACGGCCACAAAATGAAATGACAGCAAGAGATAGTACGCCATGGGCTTGAGCTCTGTACTTGAATGGCCACGAATGGGACAAGTAAATTTGCACCCAATCATATATGGTCCTCAGCTAGTAAATGTGCCCCGCATAACTGGTGTATGTGTCCGTACCCTATTGTCATTTTGTCATACCATACTGCCTCTGCTGCTTCTTGTGCCTTCTGTGCCTGCAGTAGAGCAGTGTGGCAGCCAGGAGAAGAAGGCTGGCAGCTGCAGCAATGGCAATGCCAATGATGCCTCCCACTGAAACGTCCCCTCCACTCCTGGATGTTGTAGATGAGGACTGGCTGCTGCTGCTGCTGCTGCTGCTGCTACTACTACTATCACTGTTGTTAGTGCTTGGGTTCTCTGGAAATGCACATGAAAAATGGGTGGAAGTGGGAGGTGCATGGTGTGACCAACATTTAATCTTTGAGCTGGCCAGAAAAAGGTCCCCAAATAGAACACACACACACACACACACACACACACACACACCCACACACCCACAACCACACCCACACACACGCAAGCACACACATATACGAGTGCTCGCGCGTGCACACACACACACACACACACACACCTATATGTCTACTTGCAGTACTTCAAGAGAGACGAACCCGACAATCTGGTCAACCTGTCCTGTCTCACCTGGTGCTGGCCTGCCACAAGTAGTGCAAAATGCAGAGCACTTCTGGCAGAAAGGGCTTGCGTGATTCTGTTTCACCACACAGCCGCTGTATTCAGGTGGGCAGGTGACTGCGTTTCCAGTTGTTGACCTGCCCGTGTTTTGGGGGCAAACACAAGCCAGCAAGGATAGCAGCTAATGGAAGTGCAAAAAAAACAACAAACAAAAAAACAAACAACAACAACAACAACAACAACAACAACAACCAACACGGAGCTGTAGTCATTGTTTTCCAATGACGGAGAGCATGAAATGCACATTGTAGAAGAAAGAAAGTACACATGCTGATAGGTAGGGTGGATGGAACATGGGGAGGGCCTTGTGTTGGCATGGCCCTCCTCTTCGGCTAGGCCAGCTGGGACCCTGGCTCGAGGCCCAAGTCCCATGGCAGCGGCCCCCCATCTCCCATGGCCCATGGACATCAGGCTAGAATCGTGTGACGTCCTTGGCTGGGTATTTCGTTAGAAGCTTAACTTACCAAGACCACCGCTCTTATTGACCTTCATGAGCAAACTTTCATGGAGCGTCCAGTTGGCTTTCCCTGTCCCTTCCTCTCATGTGCCATCTGGGAGCTCAAACGCCCTGTGTACAGCCCTGGGGCTTATGTGAGTGCCAAGCATACCTCCATTCTTCAATAATTTTGGCTTTTCCACAACCCCTTTCAGTCCAAATCCCTTCCTCACAACCTCATCCCACAGGCTTTACATCACCACCTATGTGGATGATCCCGAAGCTGCCATCCGATGAGGAGTTGATGGAAAACCATCTTACAGCGATTGAAGGCTGGTAAGGTTTCCCAGTATTGGAGACAGCTCTCCAGACAGCTTGTTGTGATCCAGAGAACTGCAGCAGTCAATAAACGTTGACAAAGGCACATATCTTGTACACAAGTGGTTGCTGTAAGAGATGACATTTACTAGAAAGTTAAAGAAGAAAGTAGTTACATGTGAATTAGCCTGCTCATGCTGCCTATGTTGGACGGGATTGAATCAGTGAAGTCGTTAAAACCCAAGTCCTTGCAAAAAAATCATAAGATTTCCGAACACAGAACAGAAGATTATAGTAGGAAAATGGAGAACGTGTGGGGAGAATAAACTAGGGGGAAGGATACATGTGAAGTGACTATGCTTGAAGTGTTTGGTCTATCTAGCAAGTGTTTGCCCTATGCATGCACAGGGCATGCGCAAGGCATGCACAGGAGTTTCAGTGGAACCATACAGCAGGACTTGCACTTCGAAAACAATCCTTGCCATGTCCAAATGACGCAAAACGAATAGTCGAGGCAAATGGCATCTTGCGCTTGTACTTGAAAGTCTCACAAATCTGTCAAGTTGTGAAGATTGGCTATTATAGCCGGTATTGAGCCACCTAAATTGTTGTCTGCGAGATCTCTGGGTATCATCCAACACAGTAGGAGTTTCGAAAATCTTGGATTCTTGGGAGCATTGGGTATTGATTGTGTCACTCATGCCCAAGGGACTATCAGTGTGCCTCAAGTTGGTTACATGAGAGGAGGTAATCTACACAGGTCATAAAAGGTCTGAAAGCTGCTCAAGCACAAGAAAGCATAGGCATGAGTAGAAGCATATGCAAGGCATGATATGACGAGCTTTGGCATCAATGACATCCTTGCAATATCTTATGAGAGGCTAGGTTGGCTGTCTCCATACGAGCGATAGACATCCACGGACGATAGACATCCACGGACGATACACATCCACGGACGACGGGTTGGAATCGTAAAACTCTTTACGGCAGGTTCTCTCTCTCGAATCCAAACTTAACTAGGCCACCGGTTATAAGCGAATAACTATTAAACATATGAGCAGAAGCCCATTCGGCTAAATCCTCACTCTGCCTCACAAGTGAGCAGGGAGAGCTCTCACAATGCTTCGAGACACGTGAGCTTGCTGATGGAGTTAGGAATGGAGCCAGTTAAGGAGTTGTTTATAAGGTATCTGATGAGAGGATGAGATGGCACATGGCCATGGAAAAGCCATGGCAAGGGGCAGTTGGAATTGAGCACACACAGATGTGCCATTCGATCGCAATGAATCAATCGGTTTATGTGTCCATCATTGAAGCAGCTTTTAGGCCTTGCTCCGTAAAAAAATCCAAACAATGACAATGGTGGGAACGGGGTATCCAAGCTGAGCAATCTGCAGAGAGGCACCACTCACAATTGCACCAGGTTACTGAGGTCACCAACAGATTCTGGGATGGTCCCTGAAAGACGGTTAAGAACGAAGTTTCTGCATTTGCAGAAACAATGTCAGAGAAGAAAACGTTAAAAGCAAACAGGAAAAAACGTTCATAAGCGGGAGGGGAGAGGGAGAAGGAAAGGGGAGGGGGAGGAGAGGGGGGAGGGGGGGGGGGAAGGTATTAGAGCAAGTACAAGTGCATAAGAGAGCTTCGATTGTGGAAGAGAGGAAAGAATGAGAGCTTATGGCATGTTTCAGCTCACTGTGTGTGAGGTTTCCACTTCTTCCTTAACCTCCCAGCCATGCGACACTCTTTTCTACCGATCGACTTGCCTATGACATTTCAAATGCTCACAAATAGGTGAGTTTTTGTAAGAGGCCAATCATTGCTGGTATCGAGCCAATTAAGTTGTTCCTTGAGACAGATCTAAAGGCAATTGCAAGGAAAACATAGCAAGAATCATGGCCACAAAGACAACAAAGGGAAAAAAGTGTTGTCAGCAAATTCGTACAGTTGGTTGGAGTATACATCAACACATTGGAAAGTGATATATGATTTTCAAAAAAACGATGTAAGGTAAGACAATACCCCAGGCTAGAAGCACTTCTAAGAGCTCCAGACAGTATGAGGATATTTAAACATCAAACATATCATGAGGAGCATCATTAATCTAGACATGAGCGTTCACCCGGCCTGACCCGACTCGACCCGACTTTGCTCGACCAAGGTGCAAAAATACGGCAACCGAAAAAAACGGGTCGTATTAAACGGCCGTTTTTTTCGGTGATATGAGGAAAAATACGCCGAATTTTTAATAGACGAAAATGTGCTAAAACAAAACCCTACTCTGACCAGTAAACAGGTGGGGACAACTGCCATCGGCTTTCTAACGTCAAAACAGCATTTAAATGCGGCTACAGATAGAAACGCCTCTACATTCGATAAGTCTACGTCCCCCTCCTCCAAAGCCCCCCCCCCCTCCTCCTCCTCCTCCTACAGGTGTCTACCTCCCCATCCTCATCCTAAGCCTCCCCCTCCTCCTCCTAAACCTCCCCCCTAATCCTCCTAGGCTTCCTCGTGAGCCTCCCCCCTAATCCTCCTAAGCCTTCCCCTACTCCTCCAAGTGTCTACTCGTCGTCCTCCTCCAAATGACTACTCCTCCTCCTCCTCCTCTTCCTCCTCCTCCTCCTCTTCCTCCTCAGCCCCCTCCTCCTCAACCCTTAAATGTTGAGCGAACAATTTCCCAACAGCTCGAGCAAACCCAACCACATAACAAGACCTCGATTGGCAATTATAAACCTTGTACACCTCCCATTTTAAAAAACGACCGTATAATACGACCGTTTTTTTGCACACACATGAAAACGCACCCAAGACAGTTTTTTTTCGTATTAAACGGTCATATATTTCGGTACAGTATGATATGGGCTAAAAAGGAAAAATACGCCGTTTTTTTGTACCTTGTGCTCGACCCGAGGTTGGGTCAGGCCGGGTCGGGGTCGGTTCGACCGTGGAATTTTCCTGGCCTGAACCCGGGTTTTGTCGTCTGTATGTCCCTGGCCCGTGACCGGTTGGGGCGACCCAGCCCTAAAACCGGCCGAGGGCGGGGCACCAAATTAGGAACTTACCTCATAGTTTCGAGATACAGTGCACTCTCCTTGTCTTTCCTAGCCCACATGCTCACCTCATACTTCAGCATTCTCGAGATGTGAGTTGGATGTTTGCAATGAGAAGGGTTGAGTTGGGTGTCGGTGAAATTTTGAGTTCAGTTGGTTGTTCGCAAAAATAGAACTGAGTTGAGTTGGGTGTTGGCAAAAAGTTGAGTTGGGAGCTAGTCAGTCAAATTCAAGATCTATCTGACAAGGGACAAATAGCTCAAATTAGGTCGATGTCTCCCAAATTTTGGCCTTCAGGTCGGATTGTGACCCGACTTTGGGTCGGGTCAGCCGGACCCAATGGGCCGGAACTGACCCCCCAAAATGTGCTGGTCTGGCCATGGGTCAGAACGCACCCGATCTGGTCCTATCCGCTCAGGCCAAGCCAGGGAAAGGGTCGACCAGATCCAGCTACAACCCTGGGTCAGGTCAGGTCAGGTCCTGTTGCTTGGGCGTACGTTAATGTCAGCCTTGTATCCTGTGTTAGAAAATACTACCAGGAGATTGTACACAAGAGGCTGCGCACACTAACTTCATAATATGTAAATCCTTTTTGGTCACTCTAACACAGATAGTTGTGATTGCACTCACAGGAATGTGGTTCTTACATGTGGTCAATATTTGTGAGTTGGCTGATTGCTGCTGGAATGGAGCCCGTAAATTTGTTTGAATATAATGCCCTAGCAGGGAAAACATTGGATCAAACCGGCTCGAGGGAATGCAATGAGCAAATGCAAGTTAGCTTGGTGAATTGTGATTCTAGGAAGGTGAAAGCAAGAAGATGAATTTTTCATTTCGGTGAATGATACAGAGCTTTCAGATGCCTTTTTTTTTGCTGATATGCTCAAATAAGGTCTGCATCAGAACAGCTCGTTCATCTTGTCATCAAGATATGGTTACTTAACCTTGGATATATTCGTACAATGTTCGTAGTTTGGTTAAGTCTCCAATGCAATCAAGAATTGAACCAGAAAGGAGGTTCCAACCAAGATCCCTGCATCCATAATCTCAAGACAAACGGGACAAGGTCACAAGAACAGAGGTTTACAAGAGAACGTGACACGGAAGGGGAATAGGGGAGGAAGGAAATGACTCATAAATGTGGGCAACTGTTGCCTTTTACAGAGATGCTAGAAGTTGGAGAGCTTTTCACGAATAGGATGCTTAAAGGGTAACATGTATTCCTTCCCACAATGTATATTATCGTTTCAGAAACATGTCGTAGGATCATAATACTGAACACAATCCCATGATAGAGGGAACCTAAAATACTCTTCGCACCACCTTTTACACATGTACTTGAGATCGTGCAAGTCAAGGAGATAGGGATTACAGTAAAAAGGTATGTTTGCATGGAAAATATGATGCAAACGCTGATGCTGTCAATGGCTAAAGGCATGACCTCATAAGTGCGTGCACAGTCTGCGCCATTATAGTGTATGGTGTAAAATGAAACGTGCGGAGTGGATACGAGCTACTTCGAGAAACCAAGAGGGAAGCAGATTGAGGAGGAAGAGAGATATCAAATAAAAAAAGATAGATAGAGAAGGTACCCTTGGGTGTAGGCATGAGCACGGGGCGAGGCGAGGATTCCTTGACCCGAGGATCTACTCCTCGCGCCCCAGCCAAGGCGGGTTGAGGAATCCTCGCCGAGGATTTTTCTAAAAATTCCCTCCTCGACCCTCCTTGACCCGAGGATCTACTCCTCGCGCCCCAGCCAAGGCGGGTTGAGGAATCCTCGCCGAGTTTTAGGGGCGAGGATTGGAATCCTCGACCCGAGGCGAGGATTCCTTGACATGGTGGGGGGGGGGGGGGGCGTTGCCCGGAACACTGAACCCTGCCTTTGTTATTTCGAAATTGCTCTCCCTTAGCTAACCCTAATACGAAGGAAAGGGGCTTCTCTGAGCCAAGCAAGGTGCAAAAAAACGGCGTTTTTTACTTTTTTTTACCGTATAAAACGGAATCGTATAAAACGGTCGTTTAATATGATTAAAACGGTCAAAAGCGGTGTTTTCTGCCTGGTGCAAAAAAACGGCCGTTTTATACGGTCGTTTTTTTTATACCGCTGTAAAAAATGGAAGTTCGCTTTATATGGAGGAGGGTGAGGAGGCTGAGGAGGACTAGGGTGAGGAGGAGGGCGACTAGAGCGAGGAAGGGGAGGACTAGGGTGAGGAGGAGGAGGACAATTAGGAGGACGAGCAGAGCCGGAGTAGAGTAGGAGGAGGACTAGGAGGAGGAGGGTGAAGGAAGGGCGAAAAGGACAATGAAAGGAGGTCTAGGAGGACGAGGATGGTGTTTCAGATGCACGTCGGCTGTCGCCGCCACCAGGCCCTCTGTTTCGCAGCGATATTTTTTAGTTTAGGGTAAAAAAAAAAAAAAAAAAAAAAAAAAAACCTGGGAAAAAAAAAAAGCTCTAACAAAAAAACGGTCGAATTTGCATAAATCTGCCGTATAAAACGACCGTAAAAAACGGACCGTTTAATACGGAAACCATTTTTTGCACCTTGGAGCCAAGTCACCAAGATTCAGTTTGTACCGCACAAAAGTGACGCGAGGAAAAAGCCCTCGCCCCTAAAGTGCCGAGGAATTGTCGAGTCCTCGAATCCATGGCGGGGCGGGGCGAGGATTCCTCGCGAGGATTTTTCCAAGAAATCCCGCCTAGACCCCCGGAATTTCGAGGCGAGGAGGATTTCCGAGGCGAGGAAATCCTCGCCTCATTGCTCATGCCTACTTGGGCGTGACCTCAAGGAGAGGCTTGAGGTTAGACATGTCACATGGGTATATCGCATCGCATCGCGTTTTATCGCATTTTGAGATTGCAATTTTTTATATTTTTTTTACATCGCACCGTAAAAAGCGATACGCGATTTCAATTTTTGAAACGGAATATCACAGCGATGCGATATCCTGCACGATATGACAAAATGCGATGCGATATCACATCGCATCGCATTTAACCATGTCTACTTCACTTTACGGCAATTACTTCACAAAGGTAAACGAACCACGCTCTTATTGTGCAGTAGGAATGATTCATTGAATCCAATTTCCTAAAATAATGGGAGGCTCAAGGTGCTCATTGCAGTCAGGGTGCACATACAGTTTTGTCAGGTTTGAAAGATTGCACAATTTTGCTGGTATTGGACCACTTATGTTGTTCGTGTCAAAATCCCTGGAGTGCATCCCGTAAGATGCAAATGATAAAAAAGGGGGCAAATCATGGTGAGTAGTAGTAATTTCTGGGCTTGGAGATGCTGCAGACGATCATATTTCTGCCTAAGAACTGGGTTAGTGAATAAGAATAGGTGTGTGATGTCTTCTTGTGCCATCACATTTTGTCAGCCTCACTTCCAACATCTCAATTGCTCCGTGAAAAAAAAAAAAAAAAAAAAAAAAAAAAACCATGTACAAACATCTCAATTTGGTGAGGCTCTCAATGGATTCTGAAATGCTCCTCGTAGACATGAAGTTACACAAATCATACAAATTACACAAGGTACATCAGCCTACAGCTAATTGTTCACAAGTTTATTCCCCACCAAAGGTACGGGGTGAAACACCGAGAAATTTTGTGACATTTGACTTGCTTGGGAAGGTTGTTCTACTAAACTGGTTGTGTTGGCATACTCCTGTTTGTGTTGTTTTCCAGGTGTTTCTCTATTGCCAGGTCATTGGAGATCAAGGGAAATGAAGTTCTTCCAGTAAAATCAGTGTGACTGATGGTATATGCGATCTTGCTTAGTTGTTTTTTTCTGCCTTCAGGAGGAGAGGTGAGAGAAGGGATTTAGATGCATGGTAGTCTTCTCAAATGCTGAGTGTTGTTGTAGTCATGGTCACCATGTTTTCTTCCCTTGGCCCATCCTCTCCACACCCTGCATCTGACTTACATAGCTTTGAAGTATTTTGTCTGAAAAAAATGAGACCCTGTTTCATTTTCATCTTATCATCGCATGTCACTACCTGGATAATCTGCCATCCAATGAATGTACATGATACTAACAGGTATTCTAGGCTGATCATGCTCTCAATATTTGGTGGAATAGATCCAGATAAGTTGTTTTCAGCCAGACTTCTGAAGAGATCTCTCCGTGCATAGGGGGGGGTTGTGTTTTAGATTTTACATGACAGGCACTTTCCTCACTCCACCCAATCTCGCCCTCAAACTTCAAGGCCTCACAGTTTTTTTTTTTTTTTTTTTTAATGTGTTACTACTGTCAAAGGAGAATGGACCAGACAGGGACAACCACCCTCTCCAGAAGCACCCTATTGGCAGCCAAATAATATATGTTGGCTATATTTTTGTACGGAAAGAGTGCAAGCATAAGCAGACACAAATCGTAAATGCACATGAATGAATGTACACATTATATCCAAGCAAGTGCTAGACGAACCTATTCCGTATACTAGTATACGGCTCCCACATTCAGTATTCGTAGCTCTCATCCTCAATTTAAGTTGAAAATGGATGTAGGATGCACTTCACTTGCACAACTCACAGGTATGAAACTTTACTAAGCATAGTGAGGCTCGCAGGGATGCTCCCTGAAAGACTATTCCACGAAAGATCACTGGGTGGAATCGTGCAAGCCAACATAAGGGGGTGTCAAATGTAGAAGTCGGAGGGGGGGGGGGGGGGAGAGGGGGGGTAGCAAAGGTGTGGAGGGTGGAGGTGGTAGTATGAGAAGGGTTTTGTGGGAGAAAGCGAGGGGTCTAATCAAATGGTTATCATCAAGTCCAAATTAATACACCAGACTGAAGTAGGGTTGAGCAAAACCAGGTAATTACCCGACCCGACCCGGTTTTGCAATACCCGACCTCGGGTCGGGTATTTTCGGGTCGGGTCGGGTCGGGTAATATGCCCAGGACCCTTACCCGGACCCGGCCTTAGGGGACGGGTAATACAATACCCGCCTGGCGGGTCCGGGTATACCCGACCTTGTTACCTTGAAAAGCGAGTATTGATACCCGCCACCTACTAGTGGGCATCCTAAAAATGGGCTAGACTAGGTAGGGTTTCTGAAAACGGGACTCTCAAATGAGAGTCGCATTTTCTGGGGGTCGAATTTTGACCACCCAACTCCCTCCCTTTCACCGCACTGAACTCCTCCCCGTCTACAAACTCCACTTTCCAACCAAACTCCCTCCCTTTCACCGCACTGAACACTTCCCTGTCTACAAACTCCAACATTTCCAACCAAACTCCCTCCCTTTCACCGCACTGAACTCCTACCCATCTACAAACTCCAATCTTTTCTCCAACTCCCACCAAGCTCCTCCCCTTTCACCACACTTAACTCCTCCCCATCTACAAACTCCAACCTTTTCTCCAACTCCCACCCAACTCCTCCCCTTTCACCACACTTAACTCTTCCCCATCTACAAACTCCAACTTCTCCTCAAATGCTCCACTCGTCCCCCCTCACCTCCCAAACTGTTGTGCCGCAAAACCTAAAACACAGCGCGACTTACGCCCATGTCTTGGTGGAATACCCGACCTCGGGTATTATTTACCCGACCGGGTCGGGTACCCGTTACTAGGCTTGAGCATGAACCCGACCCGACCCGACCCGACCCGACTTTGCCCTACCCGATGCCGGGTTCCGGTCGGGTCGGGTCGGGTCAAGTCGGGTCGGAGCTCGGGAAATGTCAACCCGACCCGGGTTTAATAGGTCGGGTACTACCTGACCCGATTTCGGGTCGGGTCGGGTCGGGTTGGCATAGGGGCAGGGACGGGTAATAAGCCGACCGGACGGGTCGGGTTTTGTCGGTCGGGTCGGGTTGACCCTCCGCAAATGTCGACCCGACCCGTCAAAAAGCCGGGTTCGGGTCGGGTTACCCGACCCGACCCGACCCGTTGCTCAAGCCTACCCGTTACCCGACACGTCGGGTAACATTTCGGGAAACGGGTATCGAATACCCGCCTGGGTAACGCGGACCTGACCCGCCGGGTAATATCCCGGAATCCGGATACCCGACCCGCCCAAAAAGCGGATCCGGGTCCCGGGTACCCGACCCGAGCAGGTATTTTGCTCAAGCCTAGACTGAAGGGTTGAAAAGGGACGATGCGATGGTGTTGTCCCTGTAGTGTCTGCTTCTGTTGCTGCTTTTCGCGGTGCTGCTCCTGTTGTTGCTCCTGCTGCTGTTGCTGCTGCCCAAGACTTGCCCCCGTGGAGTCTTGCTGCCAATCGTGACACACTCATTTCGTCAGCACTAATGCGACAGGCGTTGTTCCAAAACTGGAGTGCGGCCAACGACCCGAATCCCGCCCTTGCCGCATGGAATGCTAACCACAACGCGTGGGCGGCTGGTCTGGGTACCGCTGTGGAGGCAGGAGGGGCAAAGACGAGCAAGAAATGGCAGGAAGAAGCTGGGGAGAAGTGGAGGGAAGAGGAGTATGCAGAGGAAGAGGAGAGAAGAGCAGAGGAGCAGGGAGAGGAGCCAGAGGAAGAGGGAGAAAGAGGGGATGACACGGAGGAGGGGGGTGAGAGGCGAGGTGGGATGGGATGGATGGCAGTGCCGCTGCCTGGGTGGGAGGAGTGGGAGGGGGTGCCAGCACAGCACCGAGCGTGGGCTGCACATGGTGCCAGAGCTGCATCCATTGCTCAAGACGCAAGTGCTGGTCGTGTTGGTTCTCATGCAAAGCGTCCTATCCCTTCCCCTTCTCCTGCTGCCGCTGCTGCTGCTGCTGCTGGTGCCGCTCCTGGTGCCGCTCCTGGTGCCGCTCCTGGTACAGCTGCTAATCTGAACCCGACTGGCTTGTTCGCTCAAGGGGTGCGGCTGGGAGGTTGCTCAGCAGCCGAAGCGCACCCAGGCAGCTGCAAGGGAGATGGAGAGGAGCAACGGCCCAAGACCCTGCAGCGCTGGGGCTTGAGTGGTGTGGTTCAGGAAATGGGGAGGGGCGACAACGGGCAGCGCAGCGAGGATAGGGCTCTCCGATCCAGGCGGGTGGGAGAGGGAGAGGCATTGTGGGAGAGAGCGTGTGAGGTTGAGTGTATGCGCCAGTCTCGGACCAGTCGTTTCATTGGTCATTCTGAAGCTGCTGCCCCCCCTGCTGCTTGGTTGGGCGCTGCTGCTGCTGCTGCTGCTGCTTCCATGGCTCCTGCTCCTCCTGCGTCGCTTGTCGCTCGTCCTGCTGCCCCTGCTCGTCCTGCTGGAGTGAGGGCCCGTGCTCTCGGCAGTGACACTGGTGTCACCACAGCAGTTGGCCTGTGTGGACCCTTGTCTGCTGCACCTGCTCTTGACGCCTTTCTGCACCAGGAGCCGCCTGCCAGGCTGGTGTGCCCGCTGGGAGGCACTGGAAGAGGAAGCGGAAGGGGAAGCGGAAGAGGAAGCGGAAGGGGAAGCTTCTGGGGAGGTGCTGTCACGGATGCTGTTGTCAGTACTGCTGGCCTGAGCCCAGCTGCTGCTGCTTTCCCCCCTGCTGCTGCTGGGGATGCTGAGGTTGCTGCGGCTGCTTTTGCTGCTGCTGCTGCTGCTGCTGCTGCGGCTGCTACGACTGTTGGTTCAGTTCCAGCGGAGAGCCCTGCACAGAGCAGCCATGCACTGCACACGGAGGATAAGGGTGTCTATCTCTGGATGCGCAGAGGAGGGGGGACGACAGGGGGCAGCTTGACTAGGGCAGAAGTGTTGGATGTGAGGGAGCAGCACCTCCGAAGAGTTGAGGAGGAGGAGAGGAGTGAGGGGAGTGATCCTCAGAAGAGAGAGAGAGATGGAAGGTCGGACAGTGCTGCTGCAGTGGACCTGACTTTGAGGCTTTGAAGTGTGGCACATAGGGCAGTCTACGATGCACCTGTGTTACCACTGCCACTGCAAGTATTGACGGCACCCTGCACACAGAGTGCTGTACAGCGGGTTATGTTTCAAGGGTTTGAAGTGCACACACATTGTTTGCTGCCACGCGTGGACATCTGGTAGTGTGTTGTAACAAGATTCCAAGCAACATTGAGATACATGCATTTATAGGATCCAATTGTTGTAGATCAATCTATTTGCATTTATCTGAAAAGCATTCATATTTTTATGGCTCTTACTAGGTAGATTGCATTGCACAACATCCAATAAGGTTGGAACTTGGAAATTGTATGATTTAGGTGCAATTGTGGATATCGGTGGTCACGTGGATTGAGGAGATGAGCATTGTGCATACGATACGACATGTGAGGAGAGGAGGTATGGGAGAATGTGCAACGATCCATGCTTCCCAGTGGAGTGGGATAGGACCTACTCGCATCGCATCTCTTAAGCTGGGATAGGGGGGATGTGGTACGCTTTGTGTATTCTTCCTGCAACTGCTCTGCTGAGACTCTGCCGTCGCCCTCCAAGTCTGCCGCTTTGCGTGCATGTGAGGAGATGCGCTGCACTGAGCAAATCCTACGCTAGGCGCTCAGACCAGCGCTTCTCCCCACATGCACGCAAAGCAGCAGACTTGGTTGGAGGGCGAGTGAAACAGACTCTATCATCACCCTCCAAGTCTGCTCTTTTCTGTGTCTGTTACTTGTGCACCAGGTGGCACCTGGTGGAGGTGGATTCAACTCTCAATGAAGTTGACCAAGTCAAGAGGCACCTACTCGCCCTGCTCTGCCCCTCGCACACCCACATGGTATGCGCCATGACATGCCATGGTATGCCATAATGCCATGGTGTGTGGTACCGTGCCATGCCATAAGGTACATCGTATACGTCAAGTTTTGAGGCGTCTCAAAACAAAGAACCTACTTATCCACATGCGATGCCACAAGGTACATGCCAAGCCGTAGTACATGGTAAATCCCGTAGTACATGGTAAATGCCAAGACGTACCTGCTCGCCCTGCTCTGACCCTCACACGCACGCACACGGTGTGCGGCATATCATGGTATGTCATGGCATGCCATGGCGTGATTTACTGTCCCATATAGATGTACGTAGTTCACCTGCTCCCCCTGCTGCTCTGCCCCTCACACACGCACGTGGTACATGCCATTCCATCCGTGGTATGTCATGTTATGTCATGGTGTGTCATGGTGTGCCATGGTGTGTCCTGGTGTGTCATGGTGTGTCATGGTGTGTCATGGTGTGTCATGATGTGCCATGGTGTGTCATGGTGTGCCATGGTGTGTCATGGTGTGTCATGGTGTGTCATGGTGTGTCATGGTGTGCCATGGTGTGCCATGGTTATCAGAAACTGAGAACTTGATTAATTAAAATGAGCAAGAGCATACATCCTTAAATACAGAGCATCGGAGAGGATGGCAAGGGATAAGGGAGAATCGAAGGGAATCCCAAGGGAATCCTCCCAAATCGTGGGGATTTGGGATCGATTGGGTTGGGATAGGTTGGGGATGAAAACATAGCTACACCCAACCTAACAAATTTGTGTATCCCTAAAACCAACCAAGTGCCAACACACAAAGTTGGGTTAACCGAATTGCAGCCTATCTCGAACACACCCCCTAGGCTGCAACGTCGGAAGCCGTAGAGACACCAAGGCCCATGGTACGGAGAGACGATAGTGATCACGGCGTCCAAGAGCCTTCGTAAACAAGTCGGCGAGGTTGCAGTCAGAGGAAATATGCTTGACGCACAACTGCTCTCGCTGGACGAGCTCGCGCATACGTGGATTTAGGTGCAATTGTGGATTTTATAATGTGTTCCTCTTCCTCTTCCTCCTCCTGCTCCTCCTCCTCCTCTCCTCCTCCATCATCCGCTCCCCCCTCTTTCTATTTCACCCATCACTTCTTCCCTTTCCTCTTCTCTCTCCTCCCCCCATCCCTACTCCACTCCTCCTCCTGAACCCTCCCCCCCTTCCCGCTCTCCCCCTTCTTCCCCCTCCTTTGTCACTACATCTCCCCCTGCCTGTCCCTCCTTGTTACCCTTGTCTCAGAAATCTTACAAGCAACCATCTTTCAGGCAGCATCCCTGCTAACTTCAGTGCACTGAATCAACTTGCTCACTTGTAAGAGAGTTGCATGCGACATCTGGCTTCAATATAACTTGACTGTGCGTGAGGTGCTGCGTACATCTATATCATGGGGTTGATGCATTCGACAAACCAACATTTATTTCGGCTCGTCAAGAGGAGTTACACATGGCTTGCTTGCCAATCTTTTGCCCATCAAACCCACAACAGCAAGCATACTTTCCTGCCAGATCCGTGCCAGCAAGGGGGTTTTGTTGTAATATATATATGGGTCTGGCTAACATTATTTAGATACAGTTGTGGTTTGCCTATCATAACAAAATTACATTTGTTGCTGAATATGTTAAAAACAAATCACACAGTTTATGGCTTGTGGCTACAAGCTATGGAAAGCTCATCATAAGTTACCACCTCATATGCGCCTGTGGGCCTTTCACACACCAGATCCGCGAGGGAGGTCATACGTTGGCAGCCTATTTAGCTGTCCACAGCACCTTCATGAACTTCACGCCAAGCATGACTCATATCGAGGATAGATTGTAGGATGGGAGGTGGACATTACGTGGCGGCATATTTTGACATCACACAAGAGTTTTGGTCCGTTTTCTTATTTATAAACCTAAGTATTGGGTCCTACAGTCCTACTATGCTTGTCCGCAGCACCTTAAGCCCACAATTCCGTTTTTTTCCATATAATGATTTCCTTCTCCATCCTCTGCTTCTTATTTAATGCACTCCAGAGATGTTGGGCATAACAACATAAGTGGCCCAATACCAGCAGCATTGTGCAATCTTTCAAACTTGATAACACTGTAAGTGCCAATGAGCACGTTGACCCTCCCCCATTTTTTAGCAATTGACTTCCATCAATCATACTTAGCACAGAAAAGTTTTTGGTTCGTTCATTCTGATGTTGCCTTACTTACAAGTAGAAAACTGCAAACTTTGTTTGTACCTAGAAGAACCCTTCATTAAAGCGACCTCCAAGGCTACCCGGGTACCCAGTCAAGGGTCAGCCCCTATTCAACAAGTTGTTGTAGACAGGCACCAAGAACGACTTGGTTAGGCCATCCGGATCGGAGGGAGGTTTCACTAAGATGATATCAAACAAAAACGGAGGGAGCTGGAGGGAGATGAACACAAACAGCTAGCTTGTTGCTGGTTTTTTTTCACTCTTGCCCCCTCTCCCATAAGTGTAAACCAAAGGAAGGTCAATGAGAAGATGAACACAAACGAATACCTGAGGCTAAGGCGGAGAACCCAGCCACTCAGGATGGGCCGGCCTGGTGCCAATACTTGCTCTTCTAGGTGCCATCACTGCATAGCTGCTGCCCGTCTGCACCAGCAGGCCCTGTTCCCCCTCTCAAGCAGTCCACTTGTTTATTACGGATACACAAGATGTAACTTGGCACAACAAAACAAGAAGTGCGAACAAGATAGTGACGTGCTGTTTATATGACATCCAAAGCATCACCCGATTGCTTGCCAGTAATGTCTGTCTTTGTATTCCTTGTTGCCTGTCTGACTGGTGACTTCCTTCTGCTAACCCTGTGCGTTGAGAGTTGACTTCAGGAAACTGGCTGAGAACAAATTATCTGGATTTATTCCATCAAATATCGGCAGCATGGGCAGCCTAGGGAATCTGTCAGTATCATGTACATTCATTGGCATTCGTTTATGGATAAGAATCAACAAAGCTTCTGCATACATATGTCATGGGGCATGCTTTTCCATCATTGTCATCTCATTACAGCTTGCACAAGTAATGGGTCGTTGTACAAGGACGGGTGAAATATTAGCTTTCATAGAGTCTTGACATGTGGATTTGGACCTCTGTGTGTTTGCTATGGTCTTCATCGACAGTGGATGGAAACATATTCTAAACTAAAGATTGACATTGAATAGAAAGTTCAGTAAGAAATCCAAAGGATGTATTGCACACAGTTCATCAGAGATGGTGGTTGAATGTCCGTAGTACGGACATTAGCAAAACCGGGTATTTACCCGACCCGACCCGGTTTTGCTATACCCGACTTCGGGTCGGGTATTTTCGGGTCGGGTACGGGTCGGGTAACATGCCCAGGACCAATACCCGGACCCGGGATTTGGGGGCGGGTAATTTAATACCCGCCTGGCGGGTCCGGGTATACCCGACCCGGTTTCCTTGAAAAGCGGGTAGTATTACCCGCGTTTTTCTACCCTGTTGGGCTACTAAGCCTACGACCTAAATGGTGCTTCAAAAAACGTGAGCTGCGGGAGGGAGTATGAGGTGTGCCAAATCTTTAACAGTTCTGGTGTGGTGAGTGGGTCGTGAGTGGGGAGTTGGTTGGGTTTTCTAGTTGGAATGGGGTTGTGTGCGGTTTCTGGGGGTTTGATTCTTTGACCCCCAGAGTCAATTGGTTGGAACTCCAACCAATGTGGTGCTGTGCGGTTGGCTGGATTCAGGTTGGGTTGCAAATTCGATAGGGAAAATTCGATTGGTTGGACTTCCAACCAATTCCCCCCAATTCAACCACTTTGAATGCATCTGTAACTACGAAACCCAACCCCTGCCAATCTACAATGCTCTAAGTGACCTAGCAGCTCACGAAACCTAGAAATTTGATGAAATTTCTCTACCAGCGCGACTTATGTCTCGCTCGTTCCGTCCGGTAGACCGCTACCCGATTTCGGGTCGGGTACCCGCTACCCGACGCGTCGGGTAGCATTTCGGGTAGCGGGTATTGATACCCACCCTAGGTAACCCGGACCCGACCCGCCGGGTAATTTTCAGGATTTCCGATACCCGACCCGCCCTAAAAGCGGGTCCGGGTACCGGGTACCCGACCCGGGCAGGTAGTTTGCTCAACCCTAGTCCGTACCCCTGCCATAAACCCTTGGCGCAATAGCAACTTTTGTAGGTGATATTTTTTGCCTTTCAGTTTCAAGACCTGGAAGGCCGAATTGGCCTCGAGTATAGTATACCAGCATACCAGCTGTCAGTACCAGCTCCAGACCAGGCCCCTCCGCGGCACAGTCTGCCGCCGCCCGCACCCTACCGCCCGCTGCTTCCGCCGCCCAGACGACCTCTTTTGTCG